TAAAAATCACTGAGCAATAAAAGCTGTTAGGTGTGTTTCTGTGAGCCATCTGGAGAGCAAGCCTTTCATCATTTCAAGTTTCTAAATTGCAACATTTTTATTGTAAAAATTAATTGTTATCACTGATTTAACTATTTAAGATGTATTTATTATATCTAAACAGTTTAAATACAGCATATTAGTCACATTTTTAAATCAACGACAAAATTATGCCTTTTATTACATCAATATTAGAATCTTTTTTATTTGACTTCAGTATCTATCTTTTCTAGAATCTATCTTTGCAGATATTCCTGGTTGTCTTTCTTTGTGGTTACGATTAAAAATTTAATAAATATTGACTGTTTGACATATTGTTAGGGCTCTTCTCTCATCACATAAATATCCCAGTAATTTCATATATTTATGGATTATTTTCACTCTCCCGGTATTTTTATGAGGAGTAGTTTTAACTTTGTCTCATTTATTTGTATTATCATGATTTAGAAAATATATTATACCAGGTTTTATTGGCCAATCCATAGATGTATGACCTGAAAGCAACATTGTAGTTTACCAAGTGCTTTAATTTTAATTTAATTAAAGCTGATTTATTTTCTGTGTTACATGGGGTAGAAAAGCTTCCTATTGCATTATTACGTGAACATAATGTAATCTATTGATCTCTAGGAGCCATTCTGATTAAACTGAGTGACTCATAGACCTTGGGTAGCCAGGCAACCTTTATTTCTATTTTTTCATTTTCTCATATTTTTCCCCTTGTTACCTTTCCTGTACCCTTCCCACTTTCGCTACTCCTTTAGCCCTTTCCTTTCTCTTTCACATTGTCAATTATACCATTAGGATCTTATGTACTATTGTAGAATTCACACCAGAGAAACTGTTTGGTATTTACACGTGTGTGACTTATTTACTTCACTTAGGAGTATATCCTCAGTATGTATCCACTTTCCTATGAATGAATCTAATTTCTTATTCGTTATGGCTGAGTAATATTCCATTTTATAGAGAAACCACAGAATTCTTGAAGACATTGGCTTAGGAAAAGACATTATGAACCAATCCTCAGTAGCAAGGGAACCAGCAGAAAAAATCAATAACTGGGATCTCGTCTTATTAACAATCTTCTGCACTGCAAAAGAAACCATCAACAGAACTAAAAGAAAACCTACAATGTGGGAAAAAATTTGTACTAGCTGCTCAGCAGACAGAGTCTTATCTAGAATATATAAAGAACTCAAAACAATCAGCCCTTCAAATATAAAGATCCAATACAAAAATGGACATTTGAAGTTAACAAGCATTTCTCAGAAAAATAATTAAAAGCAGAAAGTAAATATATGAAAAAATGTTCCACATCCATGGTCATTCAGGAGATGCAGATGAAAATAACACTGAGATTCCACCTCTTCCCAAAAAGAATGGCTGCTGTCCAGAAATCATCCACCAGGTGTGGTGGTACACCCCTGTAATCCCAGTACTCAGGAGGCTGAGGCAGGAGGATTGCTGTGAGATCGAGACAAGCATGAGATACGTAGTGAATTCCAGGTCAGTCTCAACTACATAGTGAGACATTGTCTCAAAAAAACAAAAAACAACAAAACAAAACAAACAATGAAACAACAAATGTTGGCGCAGTTGTGGGGAGAAAGGAACTCTTCTCCGCTGTTGGTGGGAGTGCAGACTGGTACAACCACTGTGGAAATCAACATGGAGATACCTCAAAGAGCTGGAACTAGAGGTTCCATTTGACCCAGCCATCCCTCTGCTGGGTATCTTTCCAAAAGAATTAAAAGAATCATGTCACAGTGACATATGCTCACCTATGTTTATAGCAGCACAGTTTGTAATAACTGGGTAAAGAAAATTTTTACTTTTGCATAATTATACCTATTTATATTCATTATCTACAGTGCAGCACCTCTACTTGGAAAATAAGGAATTTATTCAAACAATCAGTGTGTAAATATCATGGTAATGTGTTGTATATAATTTAAATTTCTGAATCCATCAAAGGTACACGTTCTACTAAATCGATATTACATAAAATTATTATTATTTTTAGATATATATACTTTTTAAAATCAATTTTATATGTATTTGTGGTTAATTTTCTTTGCAATTCGAATTTTGCAACAAGAATCGGTTATTAATCAAATTAATAAGTGTGTACGTCCAACATGTTGTTTGGGCTCATCCCTCATCGCACTCCTATCTGTTCTTTTCTATACTTGTGATCCCGCTTTCCTGTCATTTTTATAAGATGAAATTTCATATCGTTGTTGTCTGTGCACCGCTGTGATCTAGGGCGGTTAGCCTGGTTTTTATGGCAAAGCACTCGTTTAATATTGTGACTTTATAAATAAAATTTACATTGAACAGATTCTTACATTTCTACTAAATTTATACCAAGACTTTGTTTTTAATTACTTGAGTCTATTTGTTCATTTAAGTTATACAGTACAATTATGATCAGTATTGGGATCTTGTACCTTTACATGATAGGTCTTGGTTCTCATTTTTTTCTCCTAGTCCCTGCCTTCGCTTACTAACTACACATCGTATAACTTCATGTCAATCAGAAAGAAATATTTAATACCTTCCAGTGGCCCAATTATTTTATTAGACCCCTTCATAGCTCACGTAATAGAAGTTATTTCTCTGAAATAATTTCTTATCATCTGTTACATGGTGCCAGGTCAGGTATTCATACAGTATAAATAAATTTCTAAACGGCCGTATTGTAGCAGAGCAAAATAAGAACAGCTGGTCTTACTTCTACCCCCTTCATGTAGGTACAACAGCAGCCCAGGAAGGATACCTAACATAACAGTTCCTAGAAGAATATATTTACTCATAAAATTCGATAAATATTCAATGAATTGTAGAATAATAGGTATGCAAACTTAAAAGCACACAACCTATTTAGCTTTTTTTCTCACAAAAGAAAAGACTGGAGAAAATTAGTATTACATAAACAAATTGTAGGAACTATTGAATTGCTTCATTCTTTCTTTACATTTAAAAGTTTTCTACTTTTTTTCGAGGGAATAAGGGATATGTCTTTTGTGACATCATTCATTTAAAAATAAGATATTTCCAGGAGAAAAAATTTCATTGTTCCTTCAAAGTGTCAAGTGTAAAGAAAGCATGGCTCAGGACATTTTTTTCTCTGACATTCTAGTCAAAAAATCATGATTAATTGTGCAAATCATTACTCCTGACAAGTATATACAATTATGTAACAATTTAAAAATTAATAAATGAAGTTCACTTGGAACATCAGATAAGAAGATGAACTATTCATGTTGTAAATGGGAGACTTTCAGGGGAAAAGACAAACTCTTCTGCTCATTAAATCCTTCAAATTATCTCCTGGGATTCCGGCTAAGGAATCTTCCCTGGGAATTTCTCCCTGAGGATGAGCAAAGGCTGCAGTGTCCTGAATGCATCATATATGAGGCTGACTGGGAGGAGAGGCACACACTGCTCTGTCTCCATTCACAGCTCCTCCTCAGACTCTTCTCAGAGGAAACTGGGGTGACATATCCATTTGATTAAGACTTGAACAAAATTTTTCTAGGGTGCTACATTTCACCTTGGAACAACAACAACAAAAATGAATGCACAAAAGCTAAAAATAAGTTATCCCTAGAAAAGCAAACAGATTACAGTAAATTTCAGCTCAGTATATGGTTTCCTGTTTTATTTCTGAGAATATTTTGTGCTGGGCAAGTTTTTGAACAGACAACACCGGAACACAGTTTTTGCAGCAGCTTTTGTGCACAGTAAGTATCATTATGAGAATAAAACTGGAGTATACTGGATAAAATAGAGGAGATTTTACTCAAAAATGTATAGAAAGACATCATTTTTGCCACACCATAAGTAATGCTAAGATTTGCAGAAAAAAGAATATAGAGTTCATGAAATCAAACTATACAGGCAATTTACACATTTTAAAAATATAATGGGGTGAAGAAAATGGATTTTGAAATGGTGAGTTAAAAAAAAATACGTTGGCACCAGAGAGGAAGGTCCATGCTGCCTCTGGGTGCCTAAAAAAGGTGGGGAAAAGTTATTATGGTTGAAGGAAAAGGGTGCATTTCCTCCGCAGGAGAAAGAGGAGCCTCTGCTCCCACAGATCTGTCTCCCTGTGTTACTTTCTGCCAGGACCTTGATGTCCAGGTGACTCCAAGCTCCCTGCCTCCCTTTTCCAGGATAAAGCAACCTTGACCTCCTGGGGTGGTGACTGAATATTCTTCTCAGGCAGTTTTGAGGTTATAATAACAATGATTTAAAAAACAGTAAAATAACAGTGATGCAAGGCATTTGCACTTTTCCTCTTTTCCTTTTAAGAAATTTTATGCGCCCATTCTAAAAACAAATAAATATTTTTTCCCCTCTCCAGCTGCTCTTTCCTAAACAGATATGATCTTACACACTTTTGAGGCACAGCATCCGTTCTCTGTAGAGTCATTTGTGTGGAGAACATGAACAGCATTCCTGATCTTGGTCAGGGGCAGCTGGAGAAGGAGCTTACGTTTAAAAATGGAAAAGAATGAAAGATTGATTTTGTCATCTGTGTCACTATATCTTCAGGAATTTGATATTAATGAGAATCACCTAAGTCCCCTGACCAAAATTAAACTAATTGATATGGTAGGCAATTGGGAACAATAGGACAAGGAATAATACACTAAATATGATCTTTGGCATAGTCAATTATATATTCTTATGGATCAATACCAGAAAGTGTTTAGAATATCATCAGTTTCCTGCTAAAAATGGATGTAAGTCTTTACTGTATCAGAAACAAATGGCTTTTAGACCTAAATCTGTACATGTCGATTGCATTTTTTCACTATTCTTTACAATAGATTTCATTAATTTCTAGGTGGGTTAGGAAAAATACAGAGCAACTCCAATGAATAAAATATTTTTGGAAACACTGTAATTTTAAAAATTTGTAATTAAACAGATAATTGCACTGAAACATCATGAGTGGAAGGAACTCCACCAGTGTGCCTGGCTTCATCCTCATGGGGCTGATGGGCTCTTCAGAGACACAGCTGGTCCTCTCCGTGCTCTTCCTCCTGATTTACCTGATCACGGTGCTGGGGAACGTGGGGATGATACTGATCATTCGTCTGGATCCCCAGCTGCACACCCCCATGTACTTTTTTCTCACTCACCTGTCATTTCTCGACCTCAGCTACTCAAGTGTCTTCACCCCTAAAACTGTACAAAATGTACTGACTTCCACCAAGAGAATCTCCTTCTTGGGCTGCTTCACCCAGATGTTCTTTTTTATAGTTTTCATTGCTGCTGAATGTTACCTTCTCTCTTCCATGGCTTATGATCGCTATTTAGCTATCTGCAGGCCCCTGCACTATCCAGTCATTATGTCCACAAGACTGTGCCATGCCCTGATTGCAGTCTGTTATATTATTGCTTGTTTAGATTCCACTGCCATTGTGCTTTGTATAAGCAGACTGCACTTCTGCGACTCTAATGTCATCCAGCACTTCTTCTGTGACTCATCCCCAATCTTAGCCCTGTCCTGCACTGACACATTTGAGGTTGAACTCACTTTATTCATTTGTGCTGGATCCACTACAGTTCTGTCCCTCAGCACCATATCTGGATCCTATCTGTCCATCCTCTCCACTATCCTGAAAATCAATTCTGCTGCCGGAAAGAGAAAAGCCCTCTCCACCTGTGCCTCCCACCTCCTGGGAGTCACCATCTTCTACAGCACTTCGATCTTTGCTTATCTAAAACCAAAGACGTCCTACTCCTCGGGAAAGGATCAGGTGGCTTCTGTGTTTTACACGGTTGTGGTCCCGATGCTGAACCCTCTCATCTACAGTCTCAGAAACAAAGAGGTCAAAAATGCTATTGTGAGAATCCTGCAGAAGAGAGAGGGCTGCAGGCAGTTAAAATATTAGAGATGCTCAATGTTTACACTTTCCCTTTTTCATTTTATGGAACCTCTTTGGTCACGTCTTGTAAACAAATTTCTGATTTTGTGAATATGTGTGTGTGTGTGTGTGTGTGTGTGTGCATATATGTGTATTTCCTATATTTCACTGAACAATTTTATAGTTTCCTTCTGCGTAGTGAAAATTCTGGCCTATTCTTGCATAGATTTTCCTATCTTCACTCTGTGTTATTCTAGTTATTCTGAAGACCTCTAAGTAAATCTATCAGGAGTGCCTGTATTTACTTAATTTTTTTATTATCCAATCTCATATTGGCTTGACAGTGACCTGCTAAGTAACCTTTAATGTTAAATGTGAGCTCTTTCATTTCTGCTTCCTCTGCTCTTCCCGTCTGCACAGGACTGGTGCTGAGCGTCTCTTAATGTGGAGCTGAACTCGTTACACGCTGGTCAAGGTTGTTACTTTCTCCATCTTTTGCTCAGAGTGAGACATTTCATGTGTTCCACACAGTCCTCTGTGCCTCGTCTTGGAATGGGTGTTTTCTGATGAATGTGAACTCAGACCTGGGGGAGGCTCACACACCAGAAATGCATCATTTTCCTGACTAACAGGATATTTTAAAATAGGTGAGTGGAAGGTTCATTACAGCATTTTAAATTCTATGTAGAAATGGAAATTCTGCAATCCTTTAAATCCTATCCACGGCCAAGTCCTCAGTGCTCTCTCTTATGGACGCCTTCACATGTAATAGTTCAGTAGCCTGTGCTGCACTTTGGAAGAACTAGGACACCTCATCATCGGTGCGGTTGAAACAGAACCCTACCAGCTGTTCTGAGGCAGTGGCTTTGTGCCTTTCCTTTAGCCTTTCTTAGTGTTTGTTTTCCTATTTTCTTTGTATTTATGACTTTGTCTTATGAGTAAATGAAGCCCCAAATTTCTTATGGCATGTTTAAAGGAAGGCAATCAATCCTGGATCCAGCAGAAATCTTTTCCTCAAAGCCTTTAGTGTGTTCTTTTCCTTTTATTTCTACCTTTCACTTAATGCTGATCATTAATACTTTCAGAGTTTTTCAGAAATTGAATAATGAAATTATTAATTGTAAAACATGCAGAAACTCTTGAATTTTTGAATGCATGAGAAGCTTAAAAGTTTGACCTCTGTACACTCACAACTTAAGATGAAGTTCAGACATCACCAGGAAGAGCTATGTACCAAAAAGCAAATTACCTGTTCTTCAAATATTGGACACTGCTCTCATTTGTGATGAAAGAAAATAATACATTTTGTTGCAGCTGTGACCACAGAAATCTCATGAATCCATACATGTAAAATATTAATATACTTGCTCACTACATAATAAACCTTATGTCGGTGTGCATTGTTACTCTCATAATGGGGCAGTTTTTCTCAACCATTCTGAAATATCTGGCAGTGAAAATAAAACTGCTCGAGAGAGTTCAAGTAGAGGGAGCAAAAAAATTTATTTTGTAGAATGGTAGATATCAGGGGCCAAAAACACCAGAGCACAGGCAGGCAGAACACACTAGCTGTTCTAGAGGATTTACCACGCGTTTTATTGCGACAGGCATGCGACACACATGATCACGTCCATGTGGTGATTGGTGCGTGTACACATTGCCCTTGACCGTCCCCCTGCCCCTCTCAGGCCTCTCCTGTGTTCTATTCCTGAGCTTCCCCTCCCTTCAGAATCCCCTCCCTAGTCCCTGCCCTATTTCATTCTCTTATTGAATGGTTCACACACGGTGTCACTCACACGACAGACACCACGCATTCCAGGACAGATGTGCCCTCCTCCAAATGCAGAACTGCTTGAGCAGGCACAGGAACCATACGAAGTCCCCGCATCGCAGCTTGGGTGAGCTGGCAGCAGGGAAGGCCCAGAGCTACTGGCGCTGAGAAGGATGCGCACAGCAGCAGAAGGGATCCATGCAGGCAATGAGGGAAGGTTTGCTCGGGGTGGGGAGGGGAGTTCCCTGCCCCATCTCCGGGAGAGACACATCTGCGCGTTCCGGGAGCGCTGGCTTTGTGACAGGACGGAGAACTGTCCTGAGGAGAACGAGTCTGGAGCTCAGTGCCATGAGCTGGAGCAGCAGGGACACTGCGGGGATTTCTCTCTGGATTGGGACAGCGTGAGCTCAGGGGCCATCTCAGAAATCCCCTCTGCCTCGGCCTCAGGAGAACAGGGAGGAGCAGGACTTAGGCAGTGCCCCGGATGAGAGCCGTGTCCAGCATCTCTAATGTGGTAGGCAGAGGAGAGGAGAAAGCCCCCCACATGCATTGTATACGTAGGACCCTGAAACCATTTCAAACTAGGGAGACGGTGCCCCCTCAGTACTGAGGTAGTGTATGAGAGACCAGTGAGTGTGACAAAGGCTGAGCAACCTCACGGGATTGAGGGCAGTGAGCTGATATCTGTCTTGCTGGAGAGGAAGAGCCAGGCTGTGGGATCCCAGTGAGAAATCCAGCCCGTTTTTCACACATTCACGCGGGTGGAGTGAAACGCCGACACAGAGAAGGGCAGGAAGCAAATGCTGAAGTCGGTGTGAACACTGAGCAGGGAACAGCCTGGCCGGGGAGGTCTCAGAGGGGTCGGGCGTCTGAGTCGGCAGCACAGCTGGGCAGGTGGGGCTCCCGGGGCTTCTGTTCCCCTCAGAGCTGCAGCACCCAGGCCTCTCCTCCCTTCTTGGACGCATCCGCAGTCCTCTCCCTGCCACTTCCCAGCCGTGCTTTCAAGACAAGGCCTGGGAGTTCAGAGAGCTTGGGCCCATGGTCTGGTTCTTCCCACTGACAGCACAGCTGAGAGATTTGCCAGGCATCCTCACTGCCAGGTCCAGAGGAGTCTCAGGTTTCAAGTCGCGTCCATTGTCACCATCACAGAACATGGCTGAGACTTCCCATGAGGCAGTGGGGCAGAAATGGCTTCTGCTCCTTGGACAGAGGCAGAGAGGAGACCTTGAGTCTTCACACACAAAGAAGAGATTTTTCTATTCCTCTTTTTATTAAGCATAGTCAAACAAGTGCAGTCCAGGGAAGGCGGTCTCTAGTACATATCTCCATGAGAAGAACGTGTGTGTGTGTGTGTGTGTGTGTGTGTGTGTGTAATTGTGTAACAGTACAAGATATTGCTTTGGCTCCTCTCCAGCACAACCTGTTTTTTTTTTTCCAAGTTCCCCTGAACCACAGGTTTTTACCTTAATTTTCTAATGTTATAAAAGACACACATGTGTGCTAACACTTTGAAGTCAATTTCCTTATATTTTCTCTCCCTTTCCATTTATATTCCCTCCCCTTTTTCTTTTTCCCTCGTTCTTTTTCCTCTCAGATCTCCCCTGCCTCTCTTTTTCTTTCAATGTGTAAATATTCTCCAAAGCATATTTTCTAGCAGCCTATCCTAACTTCTTGTCGTCGTATCTGACTCTAGGTCAGTGAAACTAGAGATATTTTCAAAGCTATTAAATTATTTTGACACATCTGCATGTAAATATGTCCTAACTTTGAGAAATAGCACAGACATCCAGATAGTATAGGAAATAGTCACAGAGGAAAGATCCCTATAACTTGTCTTAGTCAAGTTGTCCAAAGCTCAGAATGAAGTATATTAAAAGTAGAAATTAATGCTAAAGCACTTACAGAGGCAAACCAGCCCCAATAAAAATGGATTTCTCAACAGAACCTTTAGAAGCCAGGAAGACTTGGAATGATGTGTTTCAACCACTGGAAGAAAATATTTACCCACCTGTGTTATTGTATACTAAAAGACTGTCCTTCAAATTTGATGGAAAAGAAAGGCTTTCTAAGAAAATATAACACAATGATTTTTTTAATTTAGAACTCTGGTTTTGGGGCTTGTTTATGTGTCTTCTCATTTCAACAGATGCAGCTGCTATGCGTTCATTGAGATAGGTTTTTGCTCACCCAGTGGTCTTCAATTCTCAGCAAGCCACCGAGTGGCCTTTTCTCTGCTGCTCATCAGTCCAGGGATTCCTGGGGAAAAACCACAGAGTCTAGATGGCACCTCTGACAGAAGGTTGTGAGCCTGTGCAGCTCTGTCCTGAGCAGGCATTGGCTGGGCAGGTTCAGGTGAGCCTGTGGGGTCTGCGGGGATCCCTGGCTGTGATCTGCCTGCAGCCAGGCAGGTCTGGACCACACTCTGCTCCTGGGATCTGCGCACTCACGGTTGCTCTGGGGCAGGCTCTGACTCTAAGTTATATATTTTTTGACAACTTTTACTTTTTTTAACTTTTTACTTGTTTATATGCATTATCTAAAGTGCCGCATCTCTACTTTAAAAATAAGGAATTTGTTCATGTATTACTAATTCAAACAAGCAGTTTGTAAATGTCATATTTATATGTAGTATATTATTCAAATTTCTGAATCCATCAAAGTTATTATGCCTTCTACTAAATCAATATTACATCAAATTATAATTAATTTCCTTTGATATCTATGCTTTTTAGAATCAATTCTATAGGTGTTTGTGAGAATTTTTCTTTGCAAATCGAATCTTTTCTACTGGAACCAATTATTAAATTAATAAGCGAGTACTGTTCAACATGTTGTTTGGTCTCACCTCTCTTCACACACGTATCTATTCTTTTGTATACTTGTGATCCCAATTTCCTCTCATTTTTATAAGATGCAGTGATATATTATTATACTCTGTACGCATTTCTGTGATTTAGGCCAGATAGGCTGGGTCTTCAAGGCAAGTGGCAGAACCACTGAGTTAAATATCCAACCCTAAGCCATGTTTTTATGGAAAAGCACTCCACCAATTTTGTGACTTTATAATTGAAATTTACATTGAACAAATTCTTAAATTTCTATTAAATGGAGACCAACATGTTTTTAAAATATATATATATACTGGGAAGCATTTATATTATTAACTAGACATCCTATAACTCCATGTCAATCAGAAAGAAACATTTAAATATCTTACAATTGCCCAATTACTATATTAGACCTCTGTATAGCTGAC